ATTTGACTAGTTAACTCAATCCATCAGCCTATGTAACTTAATATTTTCACACAAGAAGGCTGTATCATTTTTATTCCATAAATGTTTCCTGGACATTTATCATATGCTAAGGATGCTGGTAGGTACTAAGGATCACAATCTAAACAGAACTTATGACAAAACTCTAGACAGGTCAAAGACACAATAAATTCCACACTTTACCTAAGAATCTGACAGAAAGGTCTCCTGGAGGAATTGTCGGATTAGATGAAACCTGAATGCTTACAACTGGGGCAAGTGGCTGTTAGAAGGAAGACAGTCATGAAGGTCCTGGGGAGGGAAAAGGGATGCCCTGACAGAGACTAGAGAAGGGAAGGAAGGAAGAGGTAAGGGAGCCAGCAGAGGCACAAGGCCCAGATCAAACAGATTTGGCTAATTGTAGAATTTGGGCCTTTGTCTGCCGTTCATTAAAGGATTCTGCTAAGAGACTGACATCATACTATAGAATGAATGGTTGTGTTTCTTCCCATTCCAATGTTGAAATCCTAACCCCCAGTGCAATGGTATTAGGGGGCTAGAGGTTGTAAGAAGGAGGTGTCCAGAGGCTGGGAAGGTGGCTCAGTGGTAGAGCGCTTGCTTTGCATGCATGAGGCCCTAGGTTTGATTCCTCAGCACAACATAAGCAAAAAGAAAAAAACCGGAAGTGGCGCTGTGGCTCAAGTGGTAGAGCGCTAGCCTTGAGCTGAAGAGCTGAGGGACAGCGCCCAGGCCCAGAGTTCAGGCCCCACAACCGGACCCAAAAAAAAAAAAGAAAAGAAAAAAGAAAGAAGTGTCCAGAATGGGATTAGTGTCCTCCCTCCAGGAGCTCCCTTGCCTCTGCTACCAGGTGAGGACACAGAAGATGGCTGGCTGTGACCCAGGAAGCAGTCCTCACCAGACACTGCTTGCCTCTACTTCCCAGCCTCCAAAAGTGTGTAAAGATAAATGTGTGTAAACAGCCCAGTCTGGGGCACTTTGTTGTAGCATTTAGTGGATTAGGAACCATGTTTAGATAAGTTTATAATGTGGAAGGAGAAATGTTGGAGATAAAGACTTTTGTTTGTAAGAAACAGCAGCAGTTTCAGAGGAATAAAGAGTTTAGTTGCAAGGTGAATAATTTTCAGTATATTACAACTACATGTGTTAACAGCATCAAGAACGTTGATGAAAGGTGTTATCAACGGGATTAGGGAGGGAAAAGAAAGAGTAGCAGATTGCTGGGGGGGGCACTAGTTAGAGCAGGTAGGGCTAACAAGGGTGAAAAAGAACAAATATGATCAAAATAGATTGTTGTCACAAAGTATGAGACTAGGACAAAAATTGAAATTTTATTAGGAAGCAGGGGAGAGTGATTGGAATAAATTGTATACATTTGTGGAAATGTCACAATGAAATCCCCCTCCTTATATAATTTTGTTTTGTACTTGTACTAGGGCTTGAATTCAGGTCCTGGGCTCAAGACTGGCTCTTTACCACTTGAGCCATATGGACTCCACTTTTGGCTTTATGGTTTAATTGGAGGTAAGAGTCTTCATAGACTTTTCTACTAGGGCTGACTTCAAACCAGGATCCTCCGATCTCAGCTTTCTGAGGGGCTAGGATAAAAAGCGTGAGCCACTAACATAGGCTAAGAGAGCTGCTGCTGCCTCTAGCATGATTAAAGCTTCAGGAAATGGGGTGGGAGGAGGACTACCAGCTGCAGGAGTACAGATCACAGGATAGCAGCCTGAACTAAGTCAGTGATTGTGGAAGCTGGAGAGGAGTGCCAACATGTATGACTTAGCAAGAGGCGAGAAGTCATAGAGAGCTACAGTAGCAGGAAGGTCATCCTGAGAGCAAAGGCTCAAAATGCCATGAAGACTAGCCCAGAAAAGGAGCAGAAAAGCATGGGGGGAGGGGGGGGGGGAGGACGCAGCGACAAGAATCAGGAAAGTGAGGAGAGCAGAGATTTCCAGTGGTGAATACTATAGGGACCAACCAAGGTAAGCATAGAGAATTGAGAAAGAAATAGATGTGACCTTGCAGTGAAGGGCAGAACCTTCTTTAAATTCAGAAAAACAAGATAAGAATGCCCACTGACCTCTCTTTGTTTAACAAGCCTAGCCACTATTATGAAAAAAAAAAAAAAGGAAGAAAAGAGGAAAGGAAAGGAGAAAAACAAGCACAAGAAATAAGAGTTGAGGACAAGAAACAAAACATCATTATTTGTATGCAGTTTAAAAATAGTCACATAGTATCTCTGATTATTAAAAGCAATTAAGCATTTAGCAAGGTATATAGATAAAAGATCAACTAGCACTAGTAGCTCACACCTGTAATCCTAGCTACTCAGGAGGCTGAGATCTGAGGATCATGGTTCAAAGCTAGTCCAGGCAGAAAAGTCCAATAAACCACTCAGAAAAAACCAGAAGTGATGCTGTGGCTCAAGTGATAGAGCACTAGCCTTGGGCACAGAGAGGCTCAGAGACAGAGCCTAGACCTGAGTTCAAGCCCCAGGAATGGCAGGAAAAGTTGTGTTTGGGGTGGGGGGGCACCATTCCTAACTGCAACCATAAAGCATTTAGGAACTAGTTGAGCAAAACTTAAAAATTGGAGAAAAAATTTAAACTGTTAAATGAAAATAGGATCTGAAGTAATGAAGCATTCTCTGGTGTGGAACTGGTCAGTTTAACATTATTAAAGACTTCCACTCAACCTAACTCAGACTTTTTACAAACATGTTCAAAAGAATAATGGTTCAAAAATAGCACACTCAAAGGGCACCAGTGGCTCATACCTGTAATCCTAGATAATCTTGAGGCTGAGTTCTGAGGGTTACAGTTCAAAGCCAGCCAAGGATGGACAAATCTGAGAGACTGTTATCTCCAATTAACCACAGAATGCTGGAAGTGGAGATGTGGCTCGAGCGCTAGCCATGAGCACAAAGGCTCAGGGACAGCACCCAAGCTGAGTTCAAGCCCAGGACCAGCAAAAAAAAAAAAAAAGAAAAAAAGGCTAACTCAGAATAAACTAAGAAAAAAGGGGAATTAGTTCCATGGTACTGGTATATGAAGGAAAAAAAAGAAAGAACAGTACAGAATAGAGAATCCTGAGATACATCCAGCATACATGAAGACCTACTGTATAATTAAGATATCCCATAAATGGCTGGAGAAAAGACAAGCTCTCTATATGTAGAGGGACAAAAATGGATCCTTACTTAATACTAAATGTAGAGGTGAGTCTCAGCAACTCAGATTCTAAATTCATAGAAGACAAAACAGAAAAATAACTTTATGATGTGGAAAAAAAGAATTCCCAAATTTAACCCCCAAAGCACAAAAGGTGGGTGTACATTATATAAAAGATAAAAATTACAAAGATATTCTTTATTAGAATATCAAATTTGTAGATTATTTTTCTATGTAGAAGAACTGACATGAGAAGAAAGTTGTTAAGTTTTTTAGGATTATTAATTGAGGCATGCAGGATTCATGATTGTAGGGAAAATACAAGTGGTTCTCATAATTAAAGCAGTAATATGTTAAATTGAAACTCTTGTACAAACATCTGAAAAACTATTGAGTGAATATTGTGGGGTTTTTTTCTCCACAAATAACACCTGAGTTCTTCCCATATTTTTCCTTATATTCCATTTTCTAAATATTTTCTATATTGGCAAATATATAAATAAAAAAGTTTAAGATCCATTAATTATAATCTGCTTTATTCCATACTTGCAAGACTTTCAAATCAAAAGCAGTATATTACTCTACTTAAATCTAAGGTGGGGAACCTGGACATGGTGACACACTCCTATAATCCCAGGCTACTCCTATAATCAAGACCAGCCTGGGCTACATAGCAAGACCTCGACTCAAGGAAAAAGAAAAACCTCATATGATGAATTCTAAGCAAATGTACCCAGAAGACTAGGATTAAGTAAAAATATAGAATTTTTTTTTCCTAGGCAATGATGGCTCACGCCTGTAATCCTAGATACTCAGAATGTTGAGATCTGAGAGTTACAGTTCAAAGCCAACCATGAACAGGCAAATCTGAGAGATTCATCTCCAATTAAACAGCAAAAAGCTAGAGGTGGCCAGGCACTGGTGGCTCACACCTGTAATCTTAGCTACTTAGGAGGCTGAGATCTGAGGTTCATGGTTCGAAGCCAGCCTGGACTGGAAAGTCCATAAGATTCTTATCTCAACCAGAAAACTGGAAGTGGTGCTTGAAGTGGTGCTGTGGTTCAAAGTGGTAGAGGGCTAGCCTTGAGCAAAAAGAGGTCAGGGACAGTACCCAGTTCAATACCCATGATCGACCAAAAAAAAAAGAAAAAGAAAAAGAAAAAAAGAAATCTTAGTAAAACTTAGTAACCTTAAAACTGAGGAAGGGCTACCTACCAACTGTTTTGTAAGATCTGGAACAAGTATCTTAAAATCTAATATACTAAGAATGGTCTTAAAAAACACACAAGAGTTAGCATTTGTTTTTAGATGAGTTATCCAGAAATTACACTTGAATATAACATCTGGGGAAAAACCTACACTTGGGGCATCATGGACCATAGTGCACTTAAATCATCATAGAAATAGAAATGTATAATAATAGAAATAACAGCATTTATATTTTTAATATTGTTTATATTTTAATATTACTTATATGTTAATGTAGTTATTTTATTTATATGATAATAATAAATGAGTAGGAATATAAATATATTAGGGGAAGACTTCATGACCACACGCAAAGGACATTTAGTTAATGTAAAAATTTATTCATATCCTTAACTCCTTTTGTTCTATCATGCTAAAAAATTAAATTCATGTAACTTTAACTTGCTTAAAGTATTAAGATATTTCTTCCTCCAGCCTTTTAAAGTGTTTCTCTCCCACCCCCATATACCTCTTGTAAACTTCCCCAAACTATGAAATTGCCACTAACAGCTGTAATATAATAATGCATAGGTATTCTAAATGTATTAGATTAATAAAATATACCTTGAACAACAACCTGGCTGCCTGGGACAAAGAATTGCTGTGTGCCATCTGCGGATTGTGCTGCGTACTGTACAATGGTAGCACCTGGTGGAGGAGCTCCTGAATTTGTCATTGCTAGTGCCTGCAGTCCCTGAACACCATCAGATCCTGGGTTAGAAATCTGGATTGCTCCACCTTGGGCTATAGCAACTTCATAAGAAAAAAAAAAAGAAAAGAAATATTAGAGATTTCAAGAGTCGTTTTTAATAATCTCAGAGAACATACTCTGTGTCTATGTATTTCTATTGCTTTTCATTCTCAAGTTATCATTATCATCATCATTATTATTATTACTACTACTGCTATTATTATTATTATTATTGTCCGTTGTGGGGCTTGAACTCTGGGCCTGGGCTCTGTCCCTCAGCTCTTCAGCTCAAGGATAGCACTCTACCACTTGAGCCACAGTGCCACTTCTGGTTTTTCTGAATAGTTTATTGGACTTTCCTGCCCATGGTAGCTTTTAACCATGATCCTCAGATCTCAGCCTCCTGAGTAGCTAGGATTACAAGCGTGAGACACCAGTCCCTGGCTTATCCTTATTTTTTCTATGTTGAATCAGTCAGGAATATCAGCTTCTAAATGCATGGGTCTATTTTCTATTTAGAAATCTCTGAAGTTCCTTGTGTCTATAGGGTTTTCTGTGGCACACATCCAGTTAAATTGTTTCAGAGGAAGAGAGAAAAAACAGGCTGAGACAATAGTCTAGCTTCTTCCAGTGCTCTCTACCTACTCAAATGTTTTCAATTTTAATAAACATTATTCTAATGCTTAAGAAATGGTCAAATGCCCATTGAGCATCAACAATGTGTGTGCACCTTTCTTCAGCTAATTAATTTTTTTTATTATCATCAAAGAAAACTGACAATAAAGGCTGTAGACAGCTGGGCACTGCTGGCTCATGCCTGTAATCCTAGCTATTCAGGAAGCTGAGATCTGAAGATTGCAGTTAAAAGCCAGCTGGGCAGAAAAGTCCATGAAATTCATCTCCAATTAATCAGCCCCAAGCTGGAAGCAGGTGTGGCTCAAAGAGTAGTGTGCCAGCCTTGAGCAAAAAAGCTAAAAGACAATGCTAGGCCCTGAGTTTAAACCCCAATACTGGCACAAAACAAACAAACAAATGCAATCAGTGCAGCCTGATTATTTGTCTAGCATACACAAGGCCGTGGTTTCAATCTCCAACACTGTAAAACCACAAGGGTTTGGGGGGATGAGAGACAGACTGTAGTATAAACATGTATTTTGGTTTATGTCTACAAAACTGTCATCTGTATCATGTTGACTATGTCAGGAGAATCTTTCAAAGATAACTCTAATATAGTAATGGGAGAGGGGGGAGTGAGGAAGGTGGGGAGGAAAGGGATAATGGGAGAACAAGGGAAGGGCTAACAATGCTCGACAAGAAATGTACTCATTGACTTACGTAACTGTAACCCTTCTGGCACAGCATCTTTTTAATAAAATAAAATTTAAAAAAACTAAAAAAGATAACTAATGAAAACATCTGTGCATATAAATATATGCACATATATATATCATATATATATATATATACATATATATATACACACACACACATATACATATATTTGGGGGCTTGAACTTTGGGCCTGGGTGCTGTCTCTGACCTCTTCAGCTTAAGGTGAGCGTTCTACCACTTGATGCACACCACCACTTCCAGTTTTCTAGTGGTTAAGTGGAGATAAGGCTCATGGACTTTTCCTGCCTAGGCTGGCTTTGAACTGCAATCCTTAGATCTCAGCCTCCTGAGTAGCTAGGATTACAGGCATGAACCACTGGCACCTGGCTCTGAACACATTTTTAAAGTAGTTATCTTCACAGTACAACTCTCAAGATTTCAGGAGTCTCAATATTCAGCCCTCACAATTAACTTGAGAGAAATCTAATTTGTTATTTTTTCTTTTCTTTTCTTTCGTGCTGTCCCTGAGCTTTTGTGCTCAAGGCTAGCATTCTATTTTCAGCTTTTTGGTAGTTAATTGGAGATAAGAGTTTCTTGGATTTTCCTGTCTGGGCTGGCTTTGAACTGTGATCTTCAGATCTCAGTCTCAGACTATAAGGGTGAACCACTGACCCCCAGCCTAATTTCTTAAAACTAGGAAAAAAATACAAAAGATGTTTCTGTCTTGAATCTTCATGGACAGATTTAGATAAATTTTGTATGTTGTTGTTTACTTAAATTTGTATTTAGAACTGACAATTCATTTGCTATCATAGAAAGTATGCTGTGGAAAGCACCACAATGTGCTAGAACATAGTAAGCACTCAAGAAATAAAATGACTGGCTATCATTTCTTCATAACAGAATATATTATAAACCTATGACTTTAGAAGTATTAACTGAGGTAAGGCTTCAAATTCCAATTGCAGCTTTAATTTTTCAACACCTACAATAATTATTAAGCTTCTGGAGTAGTCATTAGAACTACAAAATTTTCACTTTTTCTTTTCATTCTTTCTTTAAAAGTTTTCTCCTCTTTTTCAATAATTTTTCCAAAAAGTTCCAACCAAAACTTGATTGCTTTCATACTATGAACATCTGGCATGCCAAACATATATTTGTCTTGTTATTTTACTTTCTAGAGAACTCAACATATAACTAGATATGGAAAACAAAAGATTCCTTCTTTCTCTTTTTCTCTTTCTCTCTCCCTTTCTCTCTTACACACACACACGCACACACACACACAGGTTGGGTATAGAGGGAGAATTGTTAAGTTTCCAACTTTAGAATAACTTTTTTGTTTTCTGACAGGGCCCTTGATTTTGGCATTATCAAGTGACAGCAGACCTTCTCATTCAAAATGTTATCTCAGTTGGACAATGAACGCAAGATTAACCAGTGCTTCAAGGACCCCAGAAACAGGCTTTGTGTGTGCTATCTGCATTCAAAGACTTGAGGACACTTCTTAGGTTTCAAATTATCAGAAGACTGTATAACTTGTTTTCAGTAAACAAAAAGCAAGAAAAAATAGTAAGGAAAAAAGATTATTTTAATACAGGCATACTATTTTTAAAACTTACAGTGGAAAATTCCAGCAATGTAAGAGTAAACAGGATTATTTGTTAATTGTCATCTTTGTATGTCTTCCCTCTTACCCCTGTTTTTAGAACAAAAATGGATAACATATCTGTCTGGCCATTTTAAAATAAAATTGGGATGAGCTAAGGTATTGGTCATCAATAAAAATCCAATATCTTTTTGTTTCCCTGGGAACCAAAGATGATTGGCACTTTCCTTGACAGATGAAACAGATCATCAGTGTTTATATGTGTGACCAAATTAGAGTCCACACAGCTCTACGAATATTGTTGTGATTCCAGAAAAAAAAAGTAAGACTCTTTTAACTTTGGATGTATACTTAACTTTACTCTTCTAGTATTATGCAAATTAAATAGCACCCTAAAATAGTTAAAACTGAACAGCCTGATTATATAATCAACTAAATTCTACATCTGTTTCCATTATTAGTTGATGCTAGCCATGGGCTCACTATAGTGGTAGGTAAAAGTTAGGTCTCTATCCTAGTTGCTTTGAGAGCTAACTAAATTTAACATATCATTAAGTACATCACTCAACCTACTGATTGAATGTTGGACACAATAACCTTAAATTAAGAAGTTTGTCTAACTAGGCATGGTAAAATGCCACTGTAATCCCAGCACTTAGGAGGCTGAGGAAAGAGAATTTTGAGTTTAAGTTGGGGTACAAAGGCAGGACCTTGTCTCAAACAACACCACCACTACAAACCACAAGAGAGGACCAGGCTTTGGTGGCTCACACCTAGCCAGCCAGGACTAGCTCCAACTAACCACCAGAAAACAGGAAGTAGGGCTATGGCTCAAAGTTGAAGAGTACCAGCTGTGAGCAAAAGAGGTCAGGGACAATGCCCAGGTCTCAAGTTTCAAGAACCACCACCAACAACAAAAAAAATCCACAGAAAAGCAAGTTTGTCTATGCATAATTCACTAAGCATACTTCTACTTATTTTAAAGGGTTATAAAAACATCTTTATATACATTCTTATGTAATTACAATATTTAATTCAAAACTAGTATTAATCCAAGTATGGTTTTTCCACCCCATAATCTACCATATATCACGGATGATATATAGGATTATAAGATAGACCCATATAGGATGGTTCTAGCACAGCTAGTCTAAGAAAACAAATTCTTAAAAATTTCCTGAGACTCAAAATAATGGTTAGAACCAGTTATTTTCAACTGGGTGCCAGTGGTTCATACCTGTAATCCTAGCTACTCAAAAGCCTGAGATCTGAGGATCACAGTTCGAAGCCAGCCCAGGCAGGAAAATCCGTGAGACTCTTATCTCCAATAAACTACCCAGAAAAAGTCAGAAGTAGCACTGTGCTCAAGTGGTAGAGTGATAGCCTTGAGCACTGAGAGGCTCAGAAACAGCACCCAGGCCTGGACTGACAAAAAGAAAGAGAAAGGGGGGGGGGGGGGGGGGGGGAATCTGTTACTCTCAACAGATTTTAAGTCCTAATTGGTTTAAAAAAAAATAGGGCTGGGAATGTGGCTTAGCATGAAGCCCTGTGTTCAATTCCTCACAACCACATAAACAGAAAAAGCCGGAAGTGATGCTGTGGCTCAAGTGGTAGAACTCTATCCCTGAGCAGAGAGAAGCTCAGGAACAGAGCCTAGGCCCTGAGTTCAAGACCCAGGACTGGCAAAAAAAAAAATTTTTTTAATATGAAAAAGTTGGAAAGCTGAGTTGAATGCTGGTGGCTCACACCTGTAATCCTAGCTACTCAAAAGGCTAAGATCTGAAAGATAAACACTTGAAGCCAGTCTGGGAAGATGGGCTTGGCAGACTTCATTTCTAATTAGCCAGAAAAATGCTGGACTAGAGTCATGGCTCAAGTGGTAAGAGAGCCAACAATAGCTCCAGGCCCTGAAATGTTAGAAAACTTAAAAAATGAGTTTGTATAAGTAAACACATAAGATTATATCTCTTTTTACTTGATGTCATGTATATTTTATCACTTTTTTTTTCTCAATACCAGGACTTGAACTCTGGGATCTTATATTTGCATGGTTTGCTCATTTCTTTCTTCCTTTCCTTTCCCTTCCTTCCTTCCTTCTTTCCTTCCTTCTCCTTCTTCCTT